CCGGGTCACCCTTCGGATTTTTTGCTTTGGCAAAGGCTCTGAGTCAGAGGAGATTATAGTTACCTCTTCGTCAACCGCCTGGCTGTTCCCTGTATCCTCCTGAAAAGATAGAATGTCAATAAAATAATGACAAAGGAGTTAAGAGAATTAAGGATTACCTCTTCGTCATCCTCATAAGTGTCATCCAATTTGAGTAAATCTGAAGCGCTTGGCTTCTTCTTCTTTGAAGTTCTCATTTTGGCGGCTTTCCTTTCGGTTTTCTTGGCTGTCCTGGCTTGCTTGGCAGCCTCATGGTCATATCTGACCTTCCAGAAGTTGTCATCGGCCTGTGGAAAAAGATAAGAGATTATGAGTAAAAATAAGGTGTAACATAGCAAAGAGTATTTATTGAGGTTGATGACTCACTGTGGGGGCCGGGTTCTTCTTGCAGAAGGGAAGTAAGCCGAAGGCATTACTGGTCACTAGGCCCTCTTTCAGCAGCGATTGGGTCGTAGCCTCCACCACATCATCTGGTAAGTCGTCAGGGCTATGACGCAGTGGATCATCTTTTTCGCCTGAGTAAGTGCACATTAAGCCGGGATGGCGGCTTAACGGAAGTACTCGCCAAGTGACCCAGACTCGGACCAGGTTGATGCCATTCAAGCCGTTTCCCAAAAGGGCTTTGATTTTCTTAATGGTGGGAGCGAGAGGCAGACACTCAATGGCAGTTAGTTTATCCGCTAGCGGATGGTTGGCATCAAGGCGCAGAGCGCGGAAGCCGGGCAGAGGGCTCTCGTCAGCCGGAGAAGTGTCCTGACAATAGAACCACGTCTGATTCCAATCTTTCGGATGACTCGGCAGTTCAGCATAAGGAAAAAAGGCAGTCTCTCCGCCGCTGAATTGAGGTGCCGCCAATTTCAAGACTGGGCCCGTTGGCGCGTTCATTCTGCCGATTTAAGTAGAAAAGCTCTCTGAACAAAAGCAGATTGGGCTCCTCTCCCAGGTACACCTCGCAGAAGACTTGGAAGTTGCAAATATTTGGCACGGAATTGGGTCCAATGTCCTGAGGTCTAAGGTCAAAGAAATTCAAAACATCCCTGAAGAATTTTGAACCGGGAGGAGCAAATCCCCGGTTCATGTGATCCGTAAAAACTATCACCTCCCCTTCTTTGGGTTGAGGTTTCTCCTCGGACGGGTCAGGGGCACGGTAAGACATGACCTCCTTCTTAGGTAGATGACCAGACTTCACAAATTCAGACAGTTTACTTCTTGTGACTGTGGATGGTACCCAGTTACAGGTCACAGGAGCTTTTGTTGCCTTAGGTGCCATGACGTAAATTCAAGCCTATGTCAAAATAAGAAGTTCCGGTTCAAATTTAACCTGGAGGAAAACATTTCAAATCTATTCAAGATGGCGGCTTAAGAAGGGGCCTTAAGATATATGGGCAACTACGCAGTGATACTTAAGCCGCTACAGATATCAAGAACAACTAAAATATTCTTAAAACTGAGAGAAGCAAGTAAGGTTGACAGATCAGTGTCATTTACTTAAACCGGCCACATGGACAGTCATGGTTAAACATATTTGACAGAGGCAGTTTTTTATTTCCGGGTAAAACAAACTGGTTTCACAAGTTGCCGCTATTATTTTGGATAAAAAAATTGTTCTGAAAAGAAAAGTTTCTAGACCTAGAATTGGCACAGCTGAAGCTCAAGGGTTCGAACGGGACCTATGTACGATGGAAAGGGATCTATTTGTGTTTGAAATGGGTGCGAAATAACTACCGCATCATGTTTATACCATCTTCAAGATCAAAAAACGACGGTGGTAATGAAATCTACGAGGGGCCCTGACGAACAGCGAAGAATACCGAAGAGCTTGAAGGTCCTAGTGCGGATCTGAGGAACAAGAGGAAACTTACAGATGCAGTTGGCTGCGGAAGTTTGTCGCGATTTTCTGGTCAAATCAGGTCGATGCAGCGGCCTGAGATGGTGAGGACGAGGAGATCTGCAACGGCGGCGGCGGCGGAGCTCGAGCGGCAGAGGGACAGTGAGAGGAAGAAGACGACCGAAGGGGGAGAATGGGGAAGACCTAGGTCGTGCCTATTTATAAGGAAGGGCTGACTGAGACGGCGCGAGAAACGAGGAGATAAACATTATTATCCAGCGGCCCCGATGCCTCGGTTTTTGAAACGGTCAGTAAAGGCAAAAGATCCGTTGGAGGATACGGTGGAATAAAAAAGGAATTTAATTAAAGATGACGTCACGGCGGGTTAACACAGATCCAAAAGATGACGTCATTGCGGGTTTAAGAAAACCTTTTGCACAGGCAGAAGGTTGAAGATTTATTTCTTAAGGTATTTTAAGATTGACATGAACCGGTTCAAATCAATCTGGGGCCTAATGTTGGGGATATAACTATTTGTGTAAGCCGCCCAGGAGGGGCCGGGTTACGCAAAGAAGACTCGCCAGAAAGAAGCCCAAGACCAAGCATGAAGATGGCGGTTCAGTAAAGGGTCTAAGGCCCACAGGCGACTTAAGGCCCGTCGTAGTAAACCGCCATAATGGCATGACTTGTATCATAAGATAGATTTAACTAGTCAAAGAGCCGGACACTATTTATAAGCCGGTCGGGACTCTGTAAGCCGCAGGGTGTCAACCCGTGTATATAAGGGGACGACCCACCGGCGGCTTAGGGCAAGAAACAACTGATCGAGAGCCGGGCATAGCGTATCTCGCTCCCTGGTCATCGAAACATCAATACCAACCCAACTAGACATAGGCCTTACCTTCACCCTTAAGGGGCCGAACTAGTATAAACCTCTCATGTCCTTTGTCCCAATTAACCCCTTCAAGCTACCTAGTTGCGATGGCTCCACAACTAAGTCCTTTCACGAGGACAACTGACGTGACAATTCCACGACAGTGATGGTAACGTTCATGATCCTAACCCGTTATGCATCTTCATATTGATCTTGGGTGATCGTAGGCGCGGTTTTTTTTGTTTTCTACTACCTTTTCCAACAGTTCCGGAGTTGTCTCTTGTCTCGTTCGCGTTCTTCATCCCTACAGGTACCCAAGATCATGGAGAGTGAGTCACGAAGAGGCTAAGGACAGAGACCGTGAAGTGTTATTCTGAACACCAGAAACAGAAAGGTTTAGTACGGTAACACGGATCCTATCCTTGGGGATTCAAGAGGTGTAGTCATTAAACGCCCAATGCTTTTGTCCGATTATTACTATCTTAATTACCGGGGCAACTGCGCGACAGATAGGGCCTTCGATTGGACAACTGACTCTTTATGCAGGGCGCGTGCCGGTCAAGACGTAATTTGGACACATCCCCCACTTTGATACGTAGAAAGCACATCTTGATGGATGACTTCGAGAGCACAAATTAAGATCATGATGATCCAGACACAAATATATGGTTGTAAGCATAAGTCATCATACCCATGCCTATTTTTATTATAAGTGTTTTTAGTGTGAGCTTGATTCCGATCCGGACAAAAGATGGAATTATTTCTCTAGCTAAAGATTGTTTGAAACCCTTGCTTAAAGGGCATCGTCTCTCATGGGTTCGATAACACAAGGTCACATATGGGGAAAAGGCGAGAATCCTTACTGCTCTATTTCCGGATTACTAAAGGAGCTAATCACTTGCTCGCGGAGGCCGCTTCGACAGGCGAAGAATTCTCCGTCAGACAGAGATCATGACGGAGCGATCGCTTAGTGAGATGGGTCCGACGCCACCATCGCCTGCTCGTGTCAAGGACGAGCCACTATCCCTGTCGCGTTACAACGTGGACGGTAGCCAACGTTCCCACTCTGGAGGGTCA